ACCCGCACACCTGCGGCCACACCTGCCACGTCCTGAGGCCTCCGCTGCCCACCTGCCTGGATATGCGCAGGTGCACGAGGGGTGCGCCCTCCGTCCGCAGGAAGCGCTAGGAGCCAGACCTCAGGCTCCGCCCCACCCCGGCTGCCCCGCGTCGCTCAGAAATCCCGGCTAAATCCCTGAACTGTGATCCTTGAACTCAGGCAAGTAAAAACGTCAGGGTCAGGGTTAGGGTTGAGGGAGCAAAATGGAATGAAAGATACTCATGAGGCACCATCCCTCACCTTCTTCAGGTCTCAACTCCAATGCCCTGATCAATGACCACCCCATAGAGATTATCCCTGTCCACTCTAAGAGAAACTACCAATCCCATCCCCAAGACGCACCCTCCCCTTCCCAACAATTTCTCCATAGTACTTCATTATTTTCTTTTTCATAGTACTTCATTATTGAACGCACTACGGTTTATATTTCTTGTATTTACCTTGTTTATTGCTTTTCCATCAGAAAGCACCGGGAAGGCAAGTATTTTAGTTCCTAGGACCTAGAATTGCTTCACAGCATGCAAAATCTCCAACGAAGAGATATGACCTTGGGTGACACAATTTTCTGCCGTCAGGACAATCCCTAAAGAGGACTGACAGCTGAGGGCAGTCAGATCCAGTCCCAGCAGCACCACACAGCCACGGGACAGCGTGTACCTACTGGGTAGTTCTAGGCTACACTTATGGGATGTTAAATTGCCCTGTTTGTGTGAGTGCTTAGCTAGAGCCCAGCATAATGGCCTACGTCTGTAATCCCATTACTTGGAGACTGAGGCAGGTGGATCAAGAGTTCAAGGCCAGCCTGGGCTAATAGGAAGACCCCGTTTAAAAAAAAAAAAAAGACACTTTAGAGGCACTTCAACAACAGAAGTTGGCTTCCTTAATTAATATAATGGTTTTCACTGGTGAAATTAGTGATATCCAAGTCATGTGGAGTAGGTACAAATTTTTTCAGAGGCATTTTCTCTCTCACTTAAATAGAATATAAGAGTACTCTGAGTAACTACTTGGAAGATAATGATACACAATATATTGACTTGTTATTCACTTATATTTTGTTATGAAATTTTATTTTATTTTTCATAAAATAAGAATTTTTAAAAAAGAATCTACAGATTACAGCTGTCAAAACACTTTGGACTTTTAGGCTTTGCTCCAACATAGTCCAGAGTCCAGGCACTGATTAAGTAAATTCATGCAAGATTTTCTCAGAGCACCCAGTTCAGATGGGGTGAAGAGGGGCAGCTGGCCAACACCTATCTGCATGTATACTGGAGTTTAGTCTAAGACTTGCTTTCATTTAAGCTGGTAGAGAGGTAGTGTGGAGCCCCAAAGCCCTCACCTAACCTTAAAAGCTAACAAGCTGCAAATATTTACTTTAAAACTTAATGGTTATGAATGCTCAAATTGATATGAATCAATTTATATCACCCCAATGTAGAAGAAATAAAAGCTGGCCACTTCCAGGTAAATTCACACAAATACAGTGATCCTGTGTGTACTATAGTCCTTTCAAGTTTCAACACACCTCAGTCACAATGAGGCCTGTCTCTAGTTGCTCTCCTCCCCAGGTCCTGCATCAGGAAGCTTCAGTGGAGGATATGACATCCATCCACACCTTGCTCTTAACTTGCCCTGGGCTCACCTGTACCAGGAGGCAGGCACTTTCCCATGCTGTTAGTTATCAGGTCCACCTGTGGACTGCAGAGGCCATGTTCCACACTGCTGCACCCTTTGGCATCTGAGATTGCTTGGGCTTGCCTCCTTCTAGCGATCTCAATAAACCTTTGCTGCTTAACTTTCTTGGGCTACCCTTGGGTCCAGCTATCCAAGTGCCCTGGGCAGTGCTTCTTATACTCTTCTCCATGGCATTAAGAATATGAGACTTGCAAGATCTAGGATTAGAGGTTCGATTTGACTCAGCTATCCCTCTGCTGGGTAACTTTGCAAAAGAATTAAAAGAACCATGCCACAGTGATATATGTGCACCCATGTTTATAGCGGCACAGTTTGTAATAGCTAAAACTTGGAAACAGCCCATTTGCCCATCAGTTGGAGGCTGGATAAAGAAAATGTGGTTTTTCTATAAAATGGAGTACTACTCAGCCATAAAGAATGAGAAACTAAGGGCCGGGGATTTAGCTCAGTGGTTCGGTGGCCTGCCTTGCAAGCGCAAGGACCGGAGTTCATTCCCCAGTACAAAAAAAAAAAAAAAAAAAAAAAAAAAAGAGAAACTAGAGTCATTCATAGGAAAATGGATGTATATTGAGGTCATACTCTTCAGTGAAATAAAGAAGTCACACGTGTGTAAATACCGAATGGTTTCTCTGGTGTGAAAAAATGAAAGTGTAAATAAGAAAAACTGAAAGTGTAAATAAGATCCAAACTGTGTAACTGATAATGTGAAATAGGAAGAAAAGGGCTAAAGGTATAGGGAAGTGGGAAGGGTAGGGGAAAGGAAATAAGGAGCAAGAAAAAAATATGAGAAAAGGAAAAAATGGAAACAAAGTCTTTGTAAATAGGGGAGGGTGGAGGTGGTGAAGGGAGGGTGGGGACAAGGGGAAAAATGTGAACCAAGAGCTGTCATGTAAAGGTACAAGATCCCAATGATGAATGTAACTGTACTGTGTACTTAAAATGTACCAATAAACTCAATAAAAAAGGAGAAAAGAAGTATGGAAATAATTGCAAAAACAAAAAAAAGAATATGAGACTTGGGGCCAGGGATTTAGTTCAGTGGTGCTGCCACCTGCCTCGAAAGTGCAAGGTCTAGAGTTTGGTCACTGGTACAAAAGACAAAACAACAGTATGAGACTTGCCCTACTCCTTGGGCAGTGAGGCCAAAAGTGAAGTGCCTACCTCTTTACTGTCAGTTCCCCAAACTTCAAAGGAATTCTTCCACCTCTGCCCCCACAGCCAACTCCCCAGGGGACTCTGTCAGGGTGTCAGGGTCAGGAATAGGCTTTAATCTGAGTGTTTGTGTTCTTTCTCCACCCCACACCTAGTCCTAGAGGTGGACTCAACGTGGAGTTGGGTTATCAATCTCTCCTATTTTATACCTGGATACAAGTTCTTCAGTTCAGATGCTAAAGATTTTGCTGCCTTTAATTTTTGGCTCCTTGAAACTACCCTGCATTACCACCTACTGGGGGACAGTGCTGGTCAGGAGAATCCTTGAGTTAAGGTGAATGTGGAGAGGAAGACAGACAACATAGCAGTTAATACTTCACATAATCATACTGGGTTATATTAAGATCTACTCCCTGTTTTCTATTAAAATATAAATGTTATCCAGTGATCGATGAGAATGGAAACACATTAGTGTGAATTTATTGAATCTGACATTCTCTTCTTCCCTGGGAGAGTCCCTGGCTTGGGGTGGGAGGGAGCAGGTGCAACGGTCCTTATGTACTTCTGACTTTCCCCTCATCCACAGGGCTCTGGCTGCACAGCAGCTCTGCCCTTGGTTTTAGGGCTGGGTGGGGAGTTTGAGTAGACCAAGACAGTAGAAGAGGGGGTTAAGGTGAATGAAGGAGTGGGCATTCATGGAAGGAGCTGGGCTGTGTGCCTGCTGTCATGCAGTCACTGCTTTGCCTGAGTGATCCTCTGGCCTTGGTTAGATCCTTCTCCCTCACATAGCTGCACAGCCAGGTTCCCTGGGCTCCCAGGCATTCACTGGCTCCTATTCAAATCCAGAGCTGCCCAGTGGAGCTGGGCTTCTTCTGGCTTTGAGTGTGAGTCCCAGGGGTTCAGTGGGATAGTAGTTCCTTCCTGTTGGGCCCTCTGCTCTTGGACCCAGATCTTCTGCTACCCAGGCAGACTCACTGGATGATGCCAGAGAATGTGTTGATGGGCATGAGAAGGGGTTTGGATGTGCCTTGGGTTGTGTTCATTTCCTTCTGTCCGTGCGAACTGAGCCATGATGTCTTGGACTTCTGGGTTCTGGAACACGGCTCTGGGCAGGGACCCACTTCGAATCTGGGGTGGGAAGAGACAAGCTCAGGGGACCCACCTCAAGGATCAGATCTGCCCAGGACATTACTGTAGGGTATATAGGAGAGGGGCATGCAGAAAGAAGATGATGAGTCAGGAGGAGAAAGAACCTCATGAACCTGTCTATGTGGGCAGGGGGTGAGATGTCTATATGGAGTTTTCTGTGTCTGTGTTTGCCTTTTACCACCACCCTCCCACACACACACACGGGAAACCTGAAAGAATCACATCAACTGCTCAGGCACAGATGCCCCAGGGATATCCTTTGTGGGACAGGCCAGTGCCAGCAATGAGGGTGGGATCAGGAGGGCTTCAAGCTGCACGTGTCTCTAGGAATCTTGGGAACATTTAATATCAGTCTTTACAGTTTAAGTAGCCTCGAGTTGACAGCAGTGTGGTCATTCATTTACTATCAGTAGTGTCAGCCGTTCATTTGCCTCTTCTAACTGAATTCAAGTGATAAGGCAGTGGCCTGAGTCCATGTCCACCAGGGACACCTAGCTACAGGCTCAGCCTCTGACAAAGTACCCTGGGCTAGCAGACAGGAGGGCTGGCTTCGGCTTGTATCTGCCTCATTGGGGCTTGGAGCACTAGTGGTGGCCTGCTCAGTTTACCTGACCACATCTCTGAAAGTGCGCCGATTGTCTTTGTCCAACAGTAGCATCAGCAGCTTCTGCTCTTGGCTCTGGATCTGGATACTGGAGGTCCGGAAGGTATGTGTCACTGTCTATGACAGAAAGGAAGGGAAGAAGAGGGAGGGAGGGAGAGAGAGAGAGGGAGAGAGGGGGGGGAAGAGAGAGAAGAAGAGAGAGAGAGGGAGAGAAAGAGAGAAAATGAATATGTGTCACCTTTGTTTAGCAGATGGCTTTGACAGCATGGTCTTCTATCCTAGAAGATTCTGCATCCATCCTGCACCTCTGACTCTTTCACCCAGCCCACAGGGTCCCTGTCTTTCTTCCTGTAAGTGATTCTGGACAGTGACCACACTGCATCAACTGCCTCCTGGATGTCCTTAGATCTCACGTTATTTCTACAGTGCTTTCCCCCAACCTGTTGTTCTGAGATTTAAACACAGACTAAAATGCTATGCTACTGCATACCAGATGTCTGGGTTTGCATGTTGATTTATTCAACATATATTTCCCGAGCATCTCCTATATGACAGGCATGTTTCTATGTGTGGGACTTGGGGATATTTCAGGGGGTTTATAAGTCCTGACCCCAGTTCTGAGCATTCAGTTACATTTAAAATTATGTAGCTGGGGCATACAGGGCATAGAAAGTAGCCAAAAACCCAAACCTCAGGCCATGCTAGAGGAAAGCAGCCCATAGGCATCCTTCTAACCTCAGTCAGAAGGGGCTGTTTTGGAGAGGCCTGTCCCATGGGGTACAGGACTGGGGCATTGTACGTATTATGCAGGGCTTACAAAGGACCTTTCTGTATCTCTGACTTACTCCACACGCAGGCAGTAGCTTTGGGAAATTCATGGCCACAAAACTCTGGAGGCTTTCAAGTTTGTTTCAAGTGTTCTCAACCTTGGTTGCTTATAAGAATCACACATAAAATTAGACATTCCAGTTTAGCCTCGAGTTGACGGCAGGCTGGTCTGAGAAACACTGAGTCAATCCATTGTTTCATCATCAGATAACAGCAGCAACCTCAACTGGTGGTGGAAGAAGGTGTCAAGCATGTCTGGACTTTCAGTTGGATTCTTGTGGGAGTGAAGTAGGGTATGGAGAAGCCTGTGAGCAGTGTGCAAGAATGTCCCAGAGAAGGATCAAAAGGAGTCTCTGAGCCAGACTGCCCAGGTTTTAATCCTAGCTATGTGTTTTGGAACATATTTCTTACTCTTTTTGTGCTATTTAGAAAAAAAAAAAGTAGTAATAGTAACAACTACCTTGTAGGACTGCTTTGAAGATGAAATGAGATAGTATATTTAAAGGGCTAAGAGATGTATTAATGTTGGTTGGTTGTTGCTTTTAATTGTAATTTCCCAGAAGAGGCCAAGCATAAATAGTGCCTCAGTTGCCACTGTGGATTCTTCTGTCTTTGGTTTGTCACCTAGGCTAACCCTCTCCATCACAGGACATGTGTCAATCTACAGGTGGATTGTGAGTAAAACACAAAGATGTATCAAATTCGCCAGAAGGCAGGGGGACCCAGGGCAAGGGTGGCAAAGAGTTGGAGCACCTCTGGCTGTGTATCAGAAGTGGTGGGCAACAGCTGTGGTTCCTGGGAGCTCTTATCAACAGAGGCAGATGTGGGCAGAGGGCAGACAGTGGACCCTAGAGGGCCCTAAGTGGACAGCTTGACAGATGATTGTCAATACTAGGAGGCAGGAGGACGATCGAGGACAAGTAAACAACAGAAAGCAATGGGTCAAAGGATTGAGAACCCAGACAGAGCAAGGGCAATTATGCCAAAACACCAGGAAACTAACAGGTAAAGGTCATCCTACTCTCCAAAAGTAAAGGACCCTGGCTTTGAACACCATGACACTTCCTCACTTCCTCTGAAAACCTGTATGATCAGAAACCTCCTCTTGATGGGTGGGCTGAGGCAGGTACCCCATTGGGCCATGATTCCTGTACATATCTGGCTTAGATCCTTCCATAATCATAGGACCTCCAGAGACCCAGGACCTTTCAGGTCCCACTCCTACCCTGAGGAATGTTCTTTTGCTTTTTTGGATTTTCATAAATATCACTCTTGGACCGAGGATTTAGCTCAGTCATACTGCCACCTGCCTCGCAAGTGGAAGGTTCTGAGATGGATTCCTGGTACCAAAATAAATAAATAGGTAGATAGATAGATGATAAAGAAATGAATAAGTAAATCTCACTCTTATTGCTCACTTTGAATGTGTGTCCTGCACAATTAATTGTGCAGGATTTCAAGAACCTAGGGAAAAACTCCCCCAAACCCACCATCATACCAGGATAGCATTGGTAACCTTCCAGAAACAAGTTGAAAGACTCTAAGGGATATATATGGCCCTGGATGAGCTGAGCCATGAGGGAAGCCAGGTGCATTCAGTCTGTGGCACCTAACTGCCCCTGGTGAGGGAATCAGGGTTCCTGCAGGTAAGGAGACTGAGGCCAGGAGGGTTGCACAGTGGCAGGTGTGGGGCCTGGTTTGCTGGCTCCCAACTCTGTGCTGTTTCCCCTACATCAGGCAGCTGGGGATCTCTCTGGCAGGACCTGGCCCTGCTCTCTGGATAATCGGCTGCACTCTTGGGGCCTCCTACCACCTGTCTGCAGCTTTTTCTTTCCTCCCTATAGTCTGCAGGCTTAGACACACCCCACCTCCTGGGCTTTCGACTGGCAGAAGTCTTACCTACAGTCAATAAACTCCACTGTGAAGGCCAGCACAGAGGGCCAGCTGCAAAAATTTGCAAAAGGTGTGGTTCTTCACAAGATGCAGGGGATGGGCAAATGCTGCCAGTTGCCTCCTGTTTTCTCTTGGCAGCTTCCTGCCTTCCACATCCTAGAGCCCCGATTCCTCTGCTCTTGCCTTATTTACCATTGTTGTACAAACTTCCAACCCAGCCACTCTTATCTTTGCTGAGCCCTACACTCACCAGGCCACACAATGCCCTTAACAAGGTGTTCTCCAAGTTGGAAACACCTCTTCTCAGCTCACCACGAACTTACCCTAGCTGCATGGTGTTTATTCTCTGATCCATCTGGAGAGAACGTCACCATGGACCTGCTAGGTTCCAAGAGGAAGGCACAGCTACTGGATTTTTTTACCCTAGCAAATCCGTGCAGGGACAAAGGGAAGTCCCTGGTGTGATAAGTATATACGTTCAAAAAGCCCCTGACCAGGTTGTTTAAAGAGGTCATTAAAAACAGACACCAGTGTAAGGAACTGACTTCAAAGAGGAAATATGACATAAGGATAAATGGGCCCACCTTGTGGTTTAAAGCTTGAATACCATGCTGGTCTATGGGAAGGTGGATAAAAGCCAATCGCAGTGCTCCTATGGTGGATAGGCTATCTCAGAGGGAGGAGAAGGACTTGGTGATTTGCTAACTTCCAGTAAGCCCTGCTGTGAGTTAGACACGCCAAGTGCTACAGGGAACTGGAGGACTGAGATCAAGGGCCCCAGGCCTAAGGAGCTACCATTCAGTTTATAGGATTGCAGAAACTTCCGTGCATGTCTCTCATGATTTTAGGGGAGCGCAGAGGTGAACCACACAGCTCACCAGGAAGTGGGAGAGGGGAGAGAGTGTGGAGGGAAGGGAAAGAGCATCAGAAAAGGCCTTTCAGGCTATGACACATACAGTGATGAGGGTGGCATTTTAGTGTGATCGTCTTTGGATCTACCTCAGTATTGATGGAACACACTTCTAGGTACGTTTGGCTGGATCGAGAAAGCATGGCCTTGAGGACTTTGGACCCTGGCTTCTTCCTCTCTGGCATTCTTCCCTGCTCTACTTCCTGGCTGCCATGAACTAAGCAGATTTGTACCACCACACCCTTCTGCTGTGCTAGCTCAGCCTTGGAGCCAGGAAATCATGAACTGTAACCTCTCCTGTAAGGTGTGGATGTTGGCTAGTCTGTCTCAACGATGAGAAAACCAATACAACACCTGAGTTTCTTCCTGCAGGATTGGTAGGAATTACAAAAAAAGGAATAGTTGGAAAGAGGAAGGGAGAAAAAGGACCTCACAGCAAGCAAACAGAATGAGCAAAGGTATAGATGTGTAAATTCCAGAACACTGCCAAACTCAGTGGTAAGAAAGAGCCTTCAGGGAGTGGCTGAAGTTACAGACAGAGAGGAAGAGCCAAGCTATGTAATTCTGAAGAGTTTTTCTGCCCTTGGATAATGGAGAATGACAGAAAGCTTTGAGATTTGGAGCAATATGTCAGAGTTCCATTTTAGAAAGATCACCTGGGCACACATGTAGAAAAAGTGGTCTTAAGGAGCATCAGATTGTGTCAGGGAGACCATCTTACAGACTACAGTGTTTGTCCAGCAGAAGGGGATGGATTAAGATCTAGATCTAAGGTATCAGCTTGTCCTTATTTGCCTGAGACTTACCGGTCTTTAACACTGAAAATCTCAAGTTTCTTCAGTCTCAAACAATAGCAGTTGGTCAACCTAGCTGGTCCATAAGCAGGAGGACAGTGAAGAAAAAGAGATTTGGGAAGTGTTTGAGAGTGAAAACCAATAGGACAGGGGGAAATGAGGAAGGGAGGCTGGGGTGCTCCTGGGTTTCTGGTACAATATTGTGGTTAAAAAAAAAGCGTAGAAAATGGCAGTGAATAACTAATCATAGAAGAGGAAGGTCAAACATAAGGATGAAAGTCCTGGGAATAAAGTTTATAAGCTGGAAGCACTGGGTTCCACAGATGTTGGGGATGAGAAGAAGTCGGACAAAGGGGGAATGGGTTGAAAGTTGGTGTGATGAGCAGTTACATTTCATTATGATTTAGCTCTTAAATGTACTCCAGAAGCTCATGTGTTGAAGGCTTTGTCCCCAAGGTAGTCATGCTGGAGGTGGAGCCTTTGGGAGGTGATTGGATCATCAGGGCTCCGATGTCAGGAATGCATTGATCCATTTGTGGATTCACAGCTTAATGGGTTTATGTGGTAGGGGCTTTGTTACAAAAGTGAGTTCTCTTTGTTTTCTGGCCACCATGAGGCGAGCAGCTCCACCACCACATGCTTCTGCTGCAATATATTGGTTCCCCACTGGCCTAAAAGCAACTGGGCCAAGCAGCCCTGGGCTGAAACCTCTAGAATCACAAGCCAAAATAATTTTTTCCTCTTTGTAAGTGGATTATTATGGGTATTTTGGCACCTGATGGAAAACTAACTGAGATCTCCAGTTCCCCCTCAGCCTGGGCAGCCAACCAATGAACATTCTCCCTACTACAGGCACCAGAGAAACAGAACCAGAGTCTACCTGGGGATGCTACAGATAGAGGAAGATGGAGTGGAGGGTGGTGATGGAATGTGGGAAAGTTTGCTCACAGAACAGGGAAGACCCTGTCCAACTCTGCTCCATAGAGACACACACCTGCAGCCTTTCCTCCTGGCCTCTCACTCTCCAGGGCAGGAACCTGAAGGACTCTTTGGGAAAAACAAAGCTGTCCTGGGAAAGAGACTTGCAGATACTGAGATTGGGTTTCCTCTGTAGGAAGGACCGTGGCCACCTAACTATTCACAGAGAAGCCCTCCATTGACTTGGCTTTTTAGTGCCTCACTCTTCAATTTGAAGAGACAGGCAAGGTTCACCAAATATTTGGAGATAGGGATAGGGAGAGAGAGAGAAAGAGGGAGGGAGGGAGGGAGGGAGAGGGAGGAGGGTAGAATGCATACAATGAGAAACAGGCTCAATTCAGGGAGCCAAATACATTTTGCAATAAACCATTATATCTTCAGCTGGATAAGATACTACATCCATTAAGCAGGCAGAGTCCAATTAAAATGAATAACCAGAAAACAAGAAAGATTTCTTAAAGTTTGAAGGTTTAGTAAGTGAATTGGAAGTAAACTCCTCAAAGTCAAAGAAACAATAAAAATAAAAATTTGGCAAAATATATGAAAAGTCTTGATGCTATACAAATGCCATCTGACTGAGTGATTGAAATTCTAGGAATTTTTTAAAAAAGTAAAACCATGATTTTTAATGCATATTTAACCCTTTTAAATGTGCTTACAATAGTGAAAAAGAAGCACATACTTAGATGTCCTATAAGAAATTTAAATAATTATAAGGCACATGGAACCATCATATAATAAATATTTAATGAACTATATTTAACGATACAAGACATTTATGACACAAGCAAGGTCCCACCAGTACATATAGACAAGGTGTTAGTATATTTTTTAGTAAAAACATCACTATACACTTTCACACACTGTAGTTATCAGTGTTATAAAAATGTATAGGAAAAAAGGTAGGGTTTTATACCTGAAAATGCTATTAGTTATCCTGATCAAGTACTGTCATTACTATTCTTTGTATTTCCCCCAAATGATGGAACTTTTGTTTATAGCTTCAAATATTATCTTGAAAAGGGATCAAAGAAATAGAAAGACTAAAGGTGACCCTTGGTCTTGGCGATATGGGGGCGACTCTGCCACAGTGGGAGGCACTGAAAGCAGTTGGTTGTGGGCAGGAGAGTCACTGGCAAGGGACTGGAAACTTCTGGAGGCATCTTTGAGAAGCTTGACTAAGAAGGGAAAGAGGGAGATCCAGTGGGTAGGTAGAGAGGTAAAGGGGTTGCAGTAGAGTTGCTTTGTTTTTTTGATACTTCCTGGTCAAGACATGAGACTATCCTTTTTTTTTTTTTTTTTTTTGG